AGACGCTGATAAATGATACCGGACTGCACTTCACTTATAACCGCATCTTGTAAGGTGTTGGTTTGGCTTTGAAGTTGCAAGTAACTTGATCTTCATAAATTGATCGGGACTGCGGTCTGTATCTTGGTTACTAATAGAGTATGGAGCGGAAGTTTCGTCCCTAGGATTAAATTAAAGCTCCGATTGTCAATTCACCAAGAAAATTCACCTGTTTTTGTCTGTCGTACCGCACACGGGCATATTATGGAAATTATAAAAATCATTGTACCGTGATTTTTTGGCATCCAGTCTGGAGTCAGACAATCAACGACTCACCCCAGAGTAAAGGGGAAGTAAAGTAAGCGCTCCTGCTACCAAGTGCTGCGAAGTCGACGAGAGAGTCACTACTTAGCGTGAAAAGAATGGGAAAACGCCCGTCAGGTCCCGATGCCTGCCTTTTCCTTTATTATTCAATACAGTTTCGCACTTTTAATTCTGATGAGGGCTCACATGTTACCACCCATGGAGTTTCCGCTGCAATTGCGGGAATAACCGCATTAGCACTAGGCCAATTGAACTGTTCATTAAAATACTCTGATCAGCGACCGAGTCGTTCTTTATTGTGAATAATGTCCATTTTTGTCGCAAACGGTCTCTGACCGGTATGCGATGACCTCCGGTGCTGCGTATTAGGTTAAACAGTCTGACTATTCCCCGATTCACAGACTACCTCCATTTCACTAGTTATCTTGACCCACCGGTTTTCGCGATCTTTCTTATGGCTTTTCCTGAGTTGATATTGCAGGCGCCACTGGTCCCTATACTGATCCTGGCAGATTGGGATCTTTCGCTTTGGATCCATCAGGAATACTGACTTCTTAGAGATCCAATGTCTTCAGAGAACTTCGGGCTCGGTCCCACAAGCAAAGTTTGCTGCTGAGTGCATCACAAATCTAATTTGAGGAGGCATCAGAATGTGCAAATTACTCGGTACTAAACTATTTACAGTACTATTTGGCAGTGAATGGCTAACAAATTGCCTGCTATGTGTCAAAAGAAGGTTCAAAGGACGAATGTTCGGTGCAAACGACAGAGTTGAACAAAAGTTGGAGCATCCTAGCAGTAGCCCACTTATTACTACCCATCCCGTGACGGCTTTTATAGTAAACAAACTACATCCGTAGAATAGGAACAGGGAGGCGACTGTTGGACAGTGAGCAGGTGTGACTGCAAGTTATACGTTGAGGACAGGCCACTGCTGAAGTTAAGTGGTCTTTGAATCTGATCGACAAGAGGTAGCTCCACACCATGCAAACGTAAAGCAAATCTGAACTTTGTAAAGTAAGGGGTGTACACAATTGAGAAAATCTTCTGGTTTGGAGCCTATAACCGATCTCGCGCTTAGTGCGTGGCAAAAAATGTGATTTAACCATGAAATGTGACAACATAAATATAAATGTGGCATGACGTAGATGAAGTAAGTAATTTAACTTTTTCTAAATCTTGGCGGCCTTTTTATTTTCTGAGTGTGCATCTCCAGTGTGTCTTCACGGTGCGCCAAAGACATCAACAATAGAAGACCCTAAGCGTCCAAACATCGTCATCGGTTGAGGGACGAATCTCGCAATCGGCTTAGTGTATACTTAGCCCCATATGTGATTATCTCTTCAATGAAGACCTCACCGATTCCTATGTAGTATATCAAGACAATTAAATGCGTTGCCTTAATCCTGTGTTGTCTTTTAAATGTGCAAAAATTTCAGTCATCATTACTGTCTATAGCTACTCACACAAAGCTCACTATTTCTACCGTACCTTTTCGGTCAGTAGTATGGGTCAGTGCAGACTGTCGGCGATTTGATTTTGGAAATCTTGATGATGATACTGTTTCTTTTCTGTTCTGTTTGCTTCAGGTTGTGGTTGAACGGCATCCAAATTCACAGGTCACGGATATCGACAAGCACAAATTTCTCGTACCGGATGACATCACGGTCGCACAATTCCTGTGGATTATTCGGAAGCGGATTTCACTATCCGAAGAGAAAGCCCTTTTCTTGTTTGTCGACAATACAATACCTCAACCCAGGTACACCAAATCGATTGTTTGCATTGTTGTCTTTGATCGCGTTTATTAAGTGCTAGTCCATTTCCCCTGCAGTTTATTGTATCCAGGCCCTATCCATTTAAACACCATCTTGATATAATTGTTCCCGAATAAGTATAGTGAGATCTCCAGTGTGTCACGTCAAGTACTGATTGAAAGATATTTGCTCTAGAAACTTCACATGAATTGCGTAAAACCTGGTATCAATTCATCAGAGAAGTTGCCGAAATTTGCCCTCCCGTTTTTTGTTGTATCTTGCGTATCGAAAATTGTGCGGAGACTCAGTGAAAATAATTTTAAATTTTGAATCGTCCTTCGTTCTATTTTTGCGGTTTGTTTATTATCTATAGCTAGTCTTCTGTTTAGACTGGGAAAGAATGGAGAAGCTTCGTTTCAAAATTCTGCAAACCTGTGTTGTTTTCTCGGGTACAACGTATTGTATTTTCACACACCTAAACCAAGACTGTACCAAACATCATGGTACAATAATCTTTATAAAAAAGAGAAAGTTTCATTATTTGCATGCCGACGGAATGCAACCAGGTTGCCCAGAGCAAAGCAGGTGAAATCCCGTGCCCCTTAAAACAAAGATAAACGAACACGAAAAGTGTACGGTGAAACAACTTTTTTATTCCAGTTATATACCGTTTTTCATTTCATCTTTTCGCTCCGTTCCTTATCCCCATCCACCTATCTGTTATTGCGGCGTTTGCACCACTCTTGTCCGCAAGCTGGTGTTAAATATACATATTTTAAGCCACCTAGAGAGGCTCGAATTTTAGGATACACCACGTGCTGTTACGGACGTTTCAATTACAGTTTTGAACAAACAATAAACACGCACTTTCGTGCGTCGTATTTGGCTGCCCATTTGGATGAACAGTAGGAGAAAAACAGGAAGGTTGAAAGTAAGGTCGAAGAGAAAATTTGAGAAGTTCGGTGGACTACTGTTGCAAAGAAATTGAGAAAATGCACAAAAGCCTCTGTTTATGACACCCAGCCATATCACTCAGTGTCTCTGACTATCGGTGACGATCATCCCGCGTTGTTCCCATCCAGAGAGCCTGACGGGACCCATGTGACCCACACGTGAATCGTGTGATTTGAGTTTCACCATGTCCATAAAAAAATCAGTCAGTTGGCTACCAAATCCAGTGGTCCGGTTTCGCTGAATTTTCGGACCAGAGCGTTTTATAGTTTTGTCACTTCTCATTCCCTTTGCTGCTCTGACAGCACAAACTTCATAGTTTTATTCTGAATATTTTCATACCATTTAGTACTGTGTATTCGGTCTTTTTGAGCAAATGTGATTTTTAGGAAATGGGCAGGCGGTATAATGCTGGGAAATGAATAGGGCTGGGGGGAGGTTGCTACACTAACATCGCGCTGTGTATACTTGGGATGATTACGAACCACTAAAAAACGAGTTGATTTGTCACCTTATTTTGTTTCCAGTGTGCTCTGAGGCTGAAACTCGTCTTTTCTAGATGTTTTGCCGTTTTTGATGCATAGATAAACGGCGATATTTCCACAAAGCGGTGCTCAGTCGAGGATAATTCTTTATTGTAGATTGCCGTTGGGGATCACTAATTCGGTATACGTAACACAGAAATCTCATCTGAAACATACCATCGCAGTTCCTGGCAGCACGCCGGGTATTGAATGTAACAATCGGTGGTTGTTCTTTGAAACCCAACAACTTGCCCTTGGTGGTACTCACAAATGTGAGTAGTACCTCACAACACTCCTCTCGGGGCAAAAAGGATCTCTGCATGCCTCGACCAGTAAACGACTGTTTCTTGGACTGTGACCGCGTTTGTCTCCGGTCTTCAACGTCATGCTTGACTTTGTGTAATGGGATTCTGGTGTTCCTGTTGGTTTACATCGTGTGCTGTGCATTTTATCGTACCATATTGCGAGATCGTTCCGATGTGCACGACGGACTTCATTCATCCGTTGTATTTTGTACACGGAATGGCGTTCTTCAGCTAAGCGGTATGGACCTTTCCATTTGGGAAGTAACTTCCTCGAGCTAGGGCCGCTGACGAATCCCCCAATATACCGCTAATAGTTTACTTTAGATCCAACGGAGAGCACGCTGGCCGTCCGTCTGGTTTGTATCCTGGACCTGCGCATTGTCTTCCTGTACCGTCTTCGGGTCTTCGGGTGTATGTTTGGTACTGGTCTGCGTGGACGAACGGTACGCCAAAAAAGGTGAAGGTGGGGCCGACTCCCAATACCCTCCTTTCACTGCCAACCATTCTTTGAGTGTTCTGTTATTTCGTTCGGTGGGGCCGTTGGTTTGTGGGTGATAGGGAGTTGTGCGTATCTTTTTGATGCCTAATTTCTGTAAGCACGTGTGAAATTCGTCACTCTCAAAGCACAGGCCTTGATCCGTAAGAATGGCTTGTGGTGCACCATGATTCGCCACGATATGCTCCGTCACAACTCTGCTTATCGTATCGGCTTTTTGATCCGCAACGCCTACGGCTTCGATCCAGCGCGTGAAGTGCTCCGTCATTACAACGATGTGTTGGTGTCCTCTGGGGGACATCGGAACTGGACCCATGAGGTCGATGGACTCGCCGATCTCGGATACTGGTATTGACTGAATTGGACATTGTGATGGGCGAGTGTCTGACTTGAAAAGTTGACATTTTCCACACGCCAGCACCTGGTTTGTCACATTAGCATGCATATTTGGCTAATATACCCGCTGTCGAAGCAGACCGTAGGTTTGAGCGCAGCCAGTGTGTGCCAGTTCGTCTTAATAAGGATTTGGCGCAGCTGTTTCGGAACGACGACCACAGAACCCCTTATTGGCTGTCGTTTCATTAAGATACCAGTGGCATTCAAATAAAGCTGCTTCCATACGGATTTCCATGACTCCATGTGTGTACTATTTCTCACGTTTCGGTATTGCTGGCCTTGCGAGATTGCTTCGATCACCTTGCGGAGTTGTTGGTCCTTAAGGTGTTCCTTCACCAATTCGTGCGGATCTTGTCTCGCTGTCAGCATACTGACACTGAAGGAATCTGTTTCCTCCTGACGAGACAAAATATCCGCCATACAGTTTACGGCACCTGCAACGTGATTGATCGTGAAGTCGTACTCCTGCAGCCGAAGTGCCCATCGGGCTAATTTTCCTCTCGGGTCCTTGGCGGTTTTAATCCACTCCAGCAGTATGTGGTCCGTTTCTATATGAAACCTTGGACCCAGAAGATATGGTCGCCATTTATCCACTGCAAAGCGATTGCAAGACAATCTTTTTCCGTGGTGGAATATTTCCTTTCAGTTGGAATAAGGACCCTCTTCGCGTATTCAACCACTCCACTTGCTTGTTTGAGTACGGCTCCCACTCCAACGTCACTGGCATCCGTTACAGCTGTGAGGCGCTCACCAATTACTGGCATCTTCAGTGTCAGGTGTTGTATGGTTGTGATCCTTTGGAGTTCATCGAAGGATTTCTCTAGTGTCCATCGGAAGCGATAATCTTTCTTGAGCAATGCTTATAACGGTTCAGCGATATTCCTAAAATTTTTGACGAATCGGCTATAGTATGCGGCACAGCCCAGAAACCGTCTTAATGTTCTTTTCGATGTTGGGCGTGCAAACTCCTTCAACTTGAACATCTTCTCAGAAAGTGGTTTCACTTCTCTGTTTCCAACCTTGTGTCCAAGTAAAGTCAGTGTCGGCTTCCCAATTTGGGACTTCGACCCATTAATCTGAAGGCCAGATTCTTGGATTCTTTTCTGGACGCTTTCCAAGTGGAATATGTGTTCGTTTGTGGTTTTGCTGAAGACAACATTATCGTCGCCATACACCACCACGTTGGGGACACTGTCGAGTAACTTCAGCATTAGGAGGTGGAATGTGAATGGTGCTCCTGGTAATCCGAATGGCATTCGTTTGAATTGATATTTTTTATTGCCGATTGTGAATGCCGTTTTCTCTCGATCGGCTTTTTTTATTGGTACTTGTCAATATCCCGATTGTAGATCCACAAGAGAGAACACTTACGCGCTTTGCAGTTGGTCAAAAAAGTTTGCCACTGTCGGGACAGGGGCTTTGCCTATAGTCACAGTCTCTACTTGGCGACGATATAGCCGCACCTGTATCGAATAGGCATAGCTCTTTCCGACCCCCTATTTCCAACTGGGCCTGGATTGCATTGCGATCTACTGCTCATATGATAGCCTTTTTGGGAAGATGGGCGTGATTGGCGTAAACCGTATGTCGAGAGAACTATTTTGCCTTCGTCGTTAACCCATCCGGACCCCAGAATGTTAAATTTTTTGTCCCCTCACGTTAGCGAGAGCTTACTCGCCGTAAACAGGCAGTGGGTAGCATTTCGAAGATAATGGGTCCTCAACCACTATGCCCTTACCTGAGTGGTGAAATATTAATCATTGAAACCTTTCACACTTTCTCACTCCTCGTCGCAAATAAATTTCAACTCGAATGTGGCTTCTGCGTGCCATAACTTTCATGTTCTTATAATGCAAGTGAAGATGTGCTAGTAAAAAATTGACCAAGTAACCATTTAGCAGGTTCACAAGCAGTGCTGGTTCTACCCACGTTTGTTCCAGGTAAGTTGCAAGCTTTTCTGGATGGCTTGAATGCCAGTGTAACCATGTTCAACATGCGTTTTGCACCTTCAAAGTGCAAAATGTTACTTCAAGTGGTAGCCAGCCTCACTGTAACTGGGGAAGTAATAGAGCAGGTGGATGGGTTTTGTTATTTGGGCAGCAACATCTCACCCGATGGACGCATCACGGATGAAGTGTCAGCTCGCATACAGAAGGCTCGGTTGGCATTTGCCAACTTGAGACATCTGTGGAGCCGTCGCGACATCCGTCTGTCCGTGAAGGGTCGAGTGTATGCTGCGGCAGTTCGGCCAGTCCTACTATACGGTGCTGAAACTTGGCCATTAAGAAAACAGGATAAAGACAGACTGTCGGTGTTTGAACACCGCAGTCTACGCAGCATTGCACGAATCTGGTGGGGTAACCGGACTAGCAATGCTGAGGTCAGGCTCAGAGTTTTAGGGAAATGTGGTCGCCCACTGGAGAAAATGGTCGATCTCCATAGATTAAGTTGTTTGAGGCATGTGTTACGCATATCACCTAATAGGTTACCACAGCGAGCGATGTTTGCCGAGGCAGGTATTGGGTGGAAGAAAGTCAAGGGTGGTCAACCTAAGACCTGGCACGAGGGTATGAAAACCCTAATCAGGAGTCTGGGTCACATAGGTGCTGTTAGGCTCCCTGGCTAGGGACCTCGGGATGATCGTAATCGATGGTTAGAGACACTGAGTGATATAGCTGGGTGTCTTAAACTGTGGCGTTCGTGCATCTTGTCAGTTTCTCTGTAACACTAGCCCATTGAAATTTCAAATTTTCTCTTTGATCCTACTCTCAGCCTTTCCTGTCTTTCTCCTAATGTTCAACAAATGGACAGCCAAAATATAGCAATCAAAACCGACACACGACAGCGCATGGTTAATAGTTGTTGTGATAATCGGAATAGTACTGAATGTAGGAATACGACAACCCGTAATGTACTGCTCAGAACTGAATTGGCTCCAACCCGAACTGCGGACATTAATGAAATACACG